ATGCTTCTGGTATCGGTATAGGTGGTGTATTAAGTCAAGAGGGTCACCCTATCGCCTATTTTAGCGAGAAATTAAATCAGGCACAGCAGATGTATTCTACTTATGACAAAGAATTCTATGCTATCGTCCAAACTCTTCGTCATTAGCGTTATTATTTATTGCCTCAAGAGTTTATCCTTTACTCCTATCACCAAGCCCTCCGCTATCTCAATTCCCAACGTAATTTGAGTGATAGACACATTAAATGGGTAGAGTTTCTCCAAGAATATACATTTGTTCTCCACCATCGAGCTGGGGTCGATAACAAAGTGGCGGATGCTCTTAGCCGTATTATTATTGTACTCCAAACTATGAGTACTATGGTGGTCGGATTTGAACGTTTAAAAGATGAATATCCTAGTTGTCCCGACTTTGGTCTCATTTTTCAAGACCTCGTATCTAACTCCTCTCGTAATCATGTTGCTTTTTTGCTTAAAGAGGGTTATCTTTTTAAAGGTAACAAGTTGTGTATTCCTCGCACCTCACTTCGTGAGTTCCTTATTTGGGAACTCCATGCTAGAGGTCTCGCAGGTCACTTTGGTTGTGATAAAACTGTCTCCTTAGTTGAGGATAGATTTTATTGGCCTTTCCTTAAAAAGGATGTGGCTCGCATTGTGTCTCAGTGTCGCACGTGTCAGTTGGGTAAGGCCCAACGTCAAAACACGGGGAGGTATACTCCCCTACCTGTTCCTCATACTCCTTGGCGTAACCTTAGTATGGATTTTGTCCTAGGATTGCCTAAAACTGCAAGAGGTCATGATTCCATTTTCGTTGTCATGGATAGATTCTCCAAGATGGCCCATTTCATTCCATGTTCCAAGTCTACTGATCCATCATATATCGCTAAGTTATTCTTCAAAGAGGTTGTTCGCCTGCACGGATTGCCAATCACTATTGTTTTTGATAGAGATGTTAAATTTGTTAGTTACTTGTGGAAAACTCTATGGAAATTGTTTGGGACAACTCTTAAGTTCTCATCAGCATTCCACCCCCAAACAGATGGTCAAACAGAAGTAGTAAATTGTAGTTTGGGTAATTTGCTTCGTTGTTTAGTTGGGGACAAATCGGGTTATTGGGATTTGGTATTGCCTACCGTTGAATTTGCATACAATAATTATGTTAATAGGTCTACCGGTCATAGCCCATTTGAGATTGTTCAAGGTTTCTCCCCACGTCAACCACTGGACCTTGTTCCATTACCTACTCTTGCTACATCTGAGCAATCTTTTGTTGATCATATTCGCACCTTACATGAAGAGATTAAAAGAAAAATTGTTTTAAGCAATGACCACTATAAACTAACAGCTGATGCACATCGTAGGCATAAAGAGATTAAGATTGGCGATTTTGTTATGATAAGACTTGCCCCTGAACGTTTTCCAAAACATGCTGCAAAAAAACTTTGTGCTGATCACTCAGCCCTTTCCCTGTTATTAAAAGGCTTGGAACTAATGCTTATCTATTTGATTTGCCAATGCACTTAAATATTAGTCCAGTTTTCAATATAGCAGATTTATATCCTTATCGAGGCACATTCGAGCCTCTGATTTTGTCTTCTAATCTGCAAGACAAGTTTCTCAACCGCTCCCTCAAGCCCCCATTACCACATTTTCACATCAGGATATTGTTGATGAGATGCTTGACGATGAGATCATTGCATCCCAAAATGGGGGTTTTCGTAGGTTTCTTGTGCGTTGGAAAGATCGTCCGCTAAGTGATGCTACGTGGATTAATGAAGTAGAATTTCGTCAATTGGATTCAAAGCTTTTAGATGCTTACTTGGACTATACCTCGCCGGAGTCGAGTTCTTTTCAGTCGGGGAGGAATGATGCAACAAGGAAACAATTAAAAGTCTATTCAAGGCGAAAGACTAATAATCAATAGAATTCTAGTATACCTAAATTATAATAGTTTTATTTTGACAATGTTATCTTTTAATTTCAAGTTTCTTTAGATAAGAAGTTTATTTAATTTCAAAGTCCTTCTCTATGTAAAGGGGCTTAAGGCAATATTTAGAAACACTTGCATTATATGTATAAGATTATTTCTTTTGCCCTCAATTCTTCTCTGTGATTCTCCTTTCTTCTTATTATTCTTTATTAATTTGTGTGTTCCTGGATCACTAACATATACCACAAATTTTGAGTTTTTCAAATCTAATATTAGGTAGCCCATATTTGGATAGAATTTGCAAGAAACTCTTTCCATCATGGCTTGTCTCTTGTGCCATAGGGGTTAGGGCCCATATCCATGCAAGACCTTTCCGACTATAAAACATAACTTGATTTGATTGATAAGGTAGGCTGACTTGAGGTGCAGAGCATTTGTTTAATATAGCGCTTTAAACATTTCGATGTCAAAACAAGGATACGGTCCGGTTTTTAAACAAGTTTTAATAGTTGGTTTCACATGATTGAATTATGTTTTAGCCTTTTAAAGTCCCATGCTGAAATATCACAAGTAGCTCTTCGTCTTGGGCCATCGCACGGAAAACCAAAATCCTTTTTGTCTGGCATTAACTTCAAACCATGTGCATTTAAAACACCTTTTACTAAGATCAATATAGTTGTATGTAAACCCAAAGCAATAGCACGATGAACCAAACAGTCTCCAGGACCTATTGTCAAGAACAATAAATTATTGCCTCCATCTCATTTATATAGGTTGACTTCTTATTTTCTTGTCCTAATTACACAGTCTTGTTTCTTTATTAAGAATATTTTGTTATATTTGTTTACTAATATACTCTTATTTAATTTGCTTAGTCATAATCAAATTTTCACTACTTAGTCTGGAAATTGTATAAATATAAATAAGGGTAAACTAGGAAAGTTTTTGGCAAAATTGTTTTTTAATAATATTAAATAAGATTTCTTAATCCGTGTGAAAAACATAAACAACCTATATAAATGGGATGGACTGAGTGCTATTTTCATTAATAGCATCTAAAAGACCGTGCAACCAGATACTTTAACCCGCATTGAACGTCAAACTGTTTGCTGGAGATAGAAGTACATTGACCACTCATATGAAGTTTCCCTTTGAGTCGATTGTTTCCATTGAGCAAATATAAGTTCAATCAAAATTTGCTTTTCTGGAGCTCCAAAGGCAAACATGACATCATTATAAACATGAAGTCCCAATGTATGAAATCCAGAAAGAGGCTGGCTCAAGTTAAATGAGATATGATGGCTTCTTTATGGTCCAACATTCTTTCCAATACATTATCTTCATTTTGCTTCTGGTTGTAATCTCTAATGAAAAATATAGCTCCATGAGCAAAAGATCCTGTTATGATGAATCTTTAGGGTTGGGCAAATCTCCCGAACCGATCGAACTGAACCGAATTCGACGGTTCTTGTCAAATTAAATACCCGAACAGGTATCTGAATTGAGAACCGACGGGTTCGATTCGATTTTCGATTCTAGATCAAGAACCGAAAAATCGAATAAGAACCGAATCTTTTTAATTTTTTTTATATTGAATAAAATTTTTTCTAAACAAATTAACAATTTCTAAATCCAAATTTTTTGCCCAATAATTTGTTTCATTTCTAATTTTTTAATTTTTTGCCCAATTACCCATTTTATTATTTCATTTCTTAGCCAACAAGATCCAATCCAATAAATAACCATAAACACCTATACTAAAGTGCATAACACTGTCTCGACTCTCGCAGCCTCGCTGACATTCCAAAACTTATATAATCGTCGGTCGACGCTGTGACCTCCAATCGAAGCTGTAACCTTCGCCGATTGAAGCTTTGACCGTAGCGATCATTTGAACAAGGTAGTCTATCAGTTTCTGACATTCCAAAACCATTGAATGTATCATTAGTTGTATTTATGTAATGTTGTTATAAATGTCAAAAAATTTAATTATAGTACAAACCGAACGGAACGGAACCGAACCCGAACGGTTCCATTTACTAGATACCCGAAAATTTTGGTTTGGTTCGGTTCTGAACCGACCCGTGCCCACCTCTATGAATCTTGCAATATGTTGGTGATTAGTATACAATGCAGCTTGAGTAGTAAAGTCTTGTGCTATGAATGTATAAGTAGGTAAATAGTACATGTGTTGAGTTATTAACGAAGTAATTACCACTAAAGAAGTTAGAGCAAGGCCTAATTGAAAATGAAGCGAATTATTGATGTGTCATAAAGACCCTTTTGCCCTCATCCCAATCGTCCCCTCAGAGGAATATGTACATCTAAAAGATCTTCAATTATGTGTCCAATCTTGAAATTCGTTTGATACATATGACCAGCAACAAGAAAAATAAATGCACTATCGATGGGATTCATCACTACTTAAACGGCTCAGCCAGTTGCTCGAGATTCTTGACTATTTCATTTCTTGATGTTAGTAATGTACAATGGTAAAATAGGATTATTTTCTTGTCGGAACCCTTTATTTTTTCCTCATATGGGAGTTAGAATTAATTCCCGTTTATCTACTTTTATCAATGTGGGGAGAAAGAAAAACGTCTGTACCTAGCTACCAAATTTATTTTGTACATGGCCGGGGGTTATGTTCTTTTAATGGGAGTTCTAGGTCGGTTTATTTGGTTCTAATGAATCAATATTAAATTTAGAAATATTAACCAATCCGTCCTATCCTGTGGTCTTGGAAATAATATTTGATATTGGATTTTTTATTGTTTTTATTGTCAAATTGTCGATTATACCCTACATACATGGTTACTAGATACCCAAGCGCATTATAATACTTGGATGCTTCTAGCCAGAATCTTATTAAAATGGGAGCTTATGGATTAGTTCAGATCAATATGGAATTATTACCCCATGTCCATTATAGTACTTTTTGGTCATGAATATTTAAATCAATTGTTTGCTATTCAAGAATTCTTGTTTGGGTAGTTTATCAATACATAATGTTTTGATCTAATATTTCAATTATTCTGTGTTTTAGCAATAACGTACTATTCCATGGAGCTAAGGTCCAAAATATAGAAAAAAGAAGCGTTTCTATGACTCTACCAACCAGTCAATTCAATTTTACTTAATCCCTTTCCCTTTCATGGCCACATAATACCTCTTAATTCTTGGATAGAGTATTAGAATTGAAAGATCCTTAGACAATGATTGAAAAAACACACAAGGAAAATTGTCAGAAAAATGCATCTTAGCTCCAAGGGTGATGAATATCCTAACACGTATTTTGAATTTATGTTAAATGGATGCCAACATTTTGAAAAACAAATCGAGTAGCTGGTTTGTAAACCGATTTGGTTATGCATAATGCATAAAACTAGAAAAATACAAAAACATTTAGAACAAGTTAAGAACTAGCCAACTGACACGAAACCCTCTACCTTGAGAGAAGCATCTCTCTTGCTCTCTCTTTAATTAGAGCAACAATTTTTTGGTACCATTATACTTTGTCGCAGACATTTTTCCAATTCGAAAGGTCCAGAAAATAGTTTTGACATTCTTAACATAACTTCACATAGATATAACTTTCACCTATACGATAACGACTACAAAAAATAAAGGCTTTGCTTGGTGTAAATAATTTTTTGTACATCAAGATATTCCATACTCACATGGGGTGGGATCCGATTGACTTTTTTTGTAGTGGGTTCCATCCCATGTGAGTATATGGATATCTTAATATACAAAAAATTATGTATATGTAGTGTTATCCAAAAATAAAAGATCAAAGAAATGACTACGAAAAGGTCGGCCGCCAACTGAGAAATGTTGAGCTTAGAAAAGGTCCTTAAGTCAAATCCCTCGTTTGGAAAGTATGAGATATCATAAATTCTAGTTAGAATTTTGTTCATTTATTTGATTTCGCAGACACTCAAATATTCCAATAGCTAATTTTGCCCGTTGAAGTGTAAATTATTGGTAGGATGGCCTTGCCAGTGCCTAGGTAACGAATAGGTGAATGGGATGTGACAATGATTTGTTAACAGTTGAGTCCAACATATTTAGATATCAATATCTACAATTAAAAAATAAGAAACAAAAATAATAATCATGTGGCCAGTTTATTCAATTTCCACGTCGAAATTCAAGAATCATTTTTGTTTGAATTAGTTTCGTTGAATCTTAAATATGTATATAGCTTTTTGGAATCAAAACCGCCCAAATAGGAACAAAGAAAATAATAAGAGCCTTCAATTCATCCCAATTGAATGAACCATATTGTCCCAATTCTGTCTACATGACGATGCACAAGTCATATTCAATGCACATCGAACTTTATTAATGACATGCGATCAATATTCCTACCCAATTCTTGTGAAAACATCGTGCATATCATGTAGAATTTCCGATTGTGTCGAATACTATTGTCCCCAGGGGTGTCAATGGGCTGCTTGGCTCATATAACTTTTTTTAGTGATTGGCTCAGCCCTCGATTCGACTCTATACGAACCTGAAAGGCCCATGGACTGAATCCGGATGATCCGTGTTCTAAGAGGTTCATGGACTGAGTCCAAATAATATCCCAACTCTGGCCCTAAAATTTTGACATTTTCTCTCTCCTTCATGTTTCATTTTATTGAAGATAAAGAAAAATAAATAGTTTTTCCACTTTCTAAGTAATTCATGGAATCAATCATATCAAAAAAATCCTCTCCTCCGGAGACAATAACTAAACAATTATAGAGGCATTCCTTATTATTTCATTAACTACATAGATATTTTTATAAATTTTATTTTGCACCAAAAGTTATTCATCTCAAAGTTTATTACCTAAATGGGCTAATTTAACAAACGGTCACTGAACTTACTTGAAAAATACAAAACAATCACTGAACTTTAAAACTTGCATAAACGGTCACCCAGATTTTTCAGATTTTTGGATGAGGTTTGTGGCAAATTTTCGGCAACTTCCAACCACCAAGACCGCCGGATTTGGGTACTATTAGAAAGTCTACAATGTCTTCTTCAATTACCACCCAAAATCTCCCCACAACTCTAAAGGATTCGGTCAGAATAAGCCCACAAAGTTAGCTCCTCGAAATCGGAAAATTTACCCAGATTTTTGGGGG